ATATCCCTATCATCCTTCTGTAGAACCACATCTCCGTCGCCTCAAGTCTCTTGTTCATCTTTGAGGAAATTGTCCAACATTCATTTCTGTTTATTTTATTGAGGTATTTACATCTAGTTCTCTCTTTCTCTCTCTCTCTTTCTCAGCATGAAACAGACTGTCGCCGCTGGATGTTGAGCTCATGTCCAGTTTTATTGACAAGGGCAATTAACTCTGTGTTTCTCTACATTCTTAAGCAACGACATAACGAGCAACAAATGAAAATATCATGACACACAGAGCACCATTTTAATGGGTATACTTTTAAGTGTTATGAAATGATTTACGACAAAATGGTGATATTCATATATTCAAATAAAGGACAATTTAAAAATTTTTTAAAATAACATAATCTAAGAATAGTGAAAAGAATTATTGTAAAAAAGTATAATACTATTAAACGCTATTATTAACGATTTACCATTACTACTTACACACACACACATATATATATATATATATATATATATATATATACATATATATATATACAAACATATATATATATATATATAACTAATATATATAATATGTATTACTGTATGTATTACTGTTGTCTATCTCCTTTCTCCTTTCCATTTTTCCTTTTCTTCCCCCCCACTATCCTCCCATTCCTATATATCATTTCCGTTAAGTTAACCATCTAAAGAGGTCACGATTAGGTCACGCCTCCTACCCCAATATAAAACATGCTTAAGAGAAATATGAAATTAACTCCTCCCTATACTCTACCTTGTCTCGTTAACTACAACTATCACCCTCCCTGTTAAATTACAAAAATTACACTACCCATCAATTTCTAATCCCATTTTCCCTTTCATTTCGTTGTTGGAAGTGTTACCAGATGATCCGGAGCCCTTCAAAAAGGATTTTGGTGAAATAAATTATTGTAATGGTACCTTAAAGTGGTCTGTTTTTTTCATTAAATATTAGCTCTGTATTCACATTGAGCTCTCATCCTCCTTGGAATTACCCATTCGGTTTAACAAGTTCTTCGTAACAACTTAATATATATATATATATATATATACAAACATATATATATATATATATATATATATATATATATATATATATATATATAATGCTGTGACAATATTTCGCGGCTCAGTTAAGAGGATACCGCGGCACACTAGTGAGCCATAACAGGGCGGTTGAGAATCACTGATTTAACCCATAAATTTAACATACATTAAAACTATATATATATATATATATATATATATATATATATATATATATATATTTTTTAAATCCGTACCACTCAAAGCTAGGCAGTACAGCCACTAACACGCCTGGGATTACAGGGTGTGGAGGAATTAGGAACAGAAACATTGGTAATTAGGAGAAAGAAAAGAGCAATCAAGAGGAGAGTAAATAGCGATTGACATTGCATTTAAATTTTTGCAGCTTAAAGTTGATTGGAAAGCATGGTGCCGGTAACGAGTTTCACAAGCAAGAAATGTGGGATAAGAAACATAGAAGCATAGGAAACATAGCATAGAGGTTGCAGCTACATCGATCAAGCTCGACTGTAAGTCAATGCGATCTCGTCTCCACACTAGTATTGCGCTTAAATTCATACAGCAGTCTACGTATCATAGCGAAGAGCTCAACCGAACAATTACCTTGAGAGTATTTATAAAAAAAAAAACGCACAGAAAGATAACCTTACGGAGGTGGGAAAATGATTGAAGCCGAACTGCCAGATCAGGACCAGTAACATTACTGATTCTTTGGATTTTATCAAAGAGCTCCAGGAAAATAAGTGGGGCGCTGAACCATGTATGGCAGCCATATTCTAAACATGGACGAATGGTAGGCATAAAATATGCAAAATAGGTTCTGGAGAGAAAAAATTGTATTATATATATATATATATATATATATATATATATATATATATATGCAAGCAAATATATGGATATAGATCCGACAGTATGAAAGAAAATATACGGGAAAAACAAACAAAAATCCTTATATACAATTATGCTGTTTTAATGTTAATATATATCAAACGTCGGACGTTTCGGTCTAATAAACCATCTTCAGGACATATTCATAAAATATAATTAACATTATTTTTGTCATGTTGAATTGATAATGTTGAAGATGGTTTATTAGATGAAACGTCCGACGTTGACATATTAACATTAAAAAACATAATTGTATATAAGGATTTTTGTTTGTTTTTTCCGTATATATTTATATATATATATATATATATATATATATATATATATATATATATATGAGACAATAGGAAAATTGTGTCCATTTGCCGACGCGTTTCGTCCGATGTGGACTTTTTAAAGGCGGAAAAAAATGAATTTATTAAACAAAGTAACTAATAATAACAAAACAAAATGTCCTTAACAACTGGAAGAATTTAGAGAACGCTATTTTATACTGTTAACTGAAAATGACGTCAATTACTGCCACGTGTGGAGATATTGTTTTTATTGCTGTATTGATGGATTCAACCATTTTCTTTTGATTTCTTGATACTGTTCTAAAATTAATCTGCGCCAAGGCTTTTAAACTATTTCGCTTTTCTTAACAGAATCACTTCTCTCTCAAACAATCGTACAGAACAGTATCAAAAACACAAAAGTAAATGGTTGAATCCATCAACACAGCAATAAAAACAATATCTCCACACCTGACAGTAATTGACGTCATTTTCAGTTAACAGTATAAAAATAGCGTCTTCTAACTTCTTCCAGTTGTTAAGGTCATTTTGTTTTTGTTATTATTAGTTACTTTGTTTAATAAATTCGTTTCGTTTTGGCCTTGAGAAAGTCCACATTGGACGAAACGCGTCGGTAACTGTTAGAGTTTTCCTATTGTTTTTTACATTTATATATATTGTCTTTTTCTACAGGTTAACTCTGAGAAATTTTTCAAACACACACACACACACACACACACACACACACACACACACACACACACACACACATATATATATATATATGAATTTACTGCCATAAAAAGACAAAAATTATTTTTATTACCACTCATGATGGTAATAGATAAAAAGTAAAACTGAAAAAATGTATTGGAGAAAAAAAATTATTGCTTAGAAATTAGTTACAGGCCCAGTACGAAGTGCTTCTGTTTACACAGAGAAGTCTTCAAAGATAAAATATAAATGGCCTCCAACATTTTCAAGTGGTACTTACTAAGAATGGTAAATGAGTTCATACTGAAATTAGTAGCACTATATATATATATATATATATATATATATATATATATATATATATATATATATATATATATATATATATATATATATGTATGACTGCCATAAAAAGACAAAACATATCTTTGTTACCACTCATGATGGTAATAGATAAAAGTAAAACTGAAAAACGGGCTAGCTAACCGGTTTCGAACCTCGCTTAACAGAGCTAAATCGAGGGTAATAAATTAAACAGAATTACCACTAAAAAGAGATGGACAATATGTACTGGAGAAAAATATTCCTTAGATGGAAATTAATTTCGAGGACGGAAAATGCGACACTGAGATCCGAAGAAGTATTGAGATGACCAAAGACGCATTCCAAAAGCTAAGCAGAATATTACAAGACATGAGGATTTCTTTGGTAACAAAGAAAAGGGTACTGAGTTGCTACCTGACATCTGTCATCTTATATGGCAGTGAATGTTGGACAGTCTCCTCAAAGATGAAGAAGAGACTAGAGCCAAAGGAGGTATGTTTCTACAGTTGGATGCAAAATATCAAAGAAAAAAAAACTGCTTCTTCTGCTATATAATATCTAATCTCCTATAAGGTAGTTAACGCTGGACAGACGCTTTATAAGAGCAAGTGAAACTTGCAGCGACATAGACGTGGTATTATTTTTCATTTCACCCCAAGCAAGACAATAAAGCCACTAGGACACAAGAGATTACTGAGTGTGAACGAATAAGAAAAAAAAAGAAACATTACAAAGAAGAGAAAACAGTAGAAGAGTAGATAATGATTGATATTGCTTTTAAATTTTTGAATATTACAATTAACAGGAAATTATTTAGACGTAAGTGAGTTCCCCAAGAGAGAAGTGCGAGAAAATGAACTGTCTCATAGAATTTACAGTTATAGCCAGTGTCGTAGCATACTTACGGACGATAATGGTTATATCCATTTTCCCTTGTGCCACATCTGAGCGCGTGGGGTGGTTGGTAGATATCCTTCCATGTGGAATTCACTTGACTCACCTCTAGCAGTTGACTACTACTCCTACGCGCCACTGGCGAATTTTGTATGTGTTGTTCTTGTCCTAAGTATTATCGTTCATTAGCAACCTCAGTGTGAATATTCTATTCAGTAACCTTCTCTAGGTTACAACAGCTAGCCAATTCAACTGTGAACTGATGAGACATTTCCACTAATCTAGTACTCTACTTATATTCATGAAGTCTAAGTTCCAAAGCGGGGAGTTCATGCGAACAATTAATATGGGAGTATTTGTAGAAAAGGCAGAGGGAAGCTAAGTTACGGCGGTGAGAAAGTGACTGAAGCCAAGCTGCCAGATTAGGAGCATTAATATTGCTGATTCTTCTTTGGATTTTATCAAGGATCTTTGAATATACAGCAAGAGAACGGGACGAGATGTGACCGCAATATTCAAGGCATGGACGAATGGTAGATTTATAAATATGTAAGAGAGATTCTGTAGAGAAAAATTCTCTGGGATGACACAGTGAAAAAAAAATTCTCAGCAGCAGATCTAGAAATAAATTTAATAATAGTCTTCCCACTTCATGTAAACCGAGAAAGAAGAATGTTGAGAAATTCATGGAGATGAGACTTGTGCAACGAAAAAAGAGTTAAAGAAAATAAGATACCAAAAGAAGCGAGTGTATACAATGATATATACTAAGAAAGATAATGAGGAAAGAAGGCCTAGAGAATTTAACACTCACAGAACATAATGATGTATTTGTCAGTATTTTCATATCTATCTATCTATCTATCTATCTATCTATCTATCAATCTATCTATCTATCTCAGTCTGTTCTTATCTATCTAGTTTGAGTCATCATATATATCTATTTCCGTCTATACATATCTATCTATCTATCTATCTATCTAGTTTGAGTCATCATATCTATCTATCTTCGTCTCTTCAAATATATATCTAGTTTCAGTCTCATCATATCTATCTATCTATCTATCTATCTATCTATCTATCTATCTATCTATCTATCTATCTATCTATCTATCTATCTCAGTCTGGGTCATATCTATTTATACTAGTCAATTCATATCTATCTATCTATCTATCTCAGTCTGTTTCTATCTATCTATCTATCTATCTATCTATCTATCTATCTATCTATCTATCTATCTATCTATCTCAGTCTGGTCATATCTATCTATACTAGTCAATTCATATCTATCTATCTATCTATCTATCTATCTATCTATCTATCTATCTATCTATCTCAGTCTGTTTCTATCTATCTATCTATCTATCTATCTATCTATCTATCTATCTATCTATCTGTTGATTATGTTAGCGCTGTTCAAAAACAATTATTTAAATTGGAAAAGGACGCAATCCAAAAGCTGGGCAGAGTATTGTGAGATGTCTTTGGTGACAAAGAAAAAACGTACAGAGCTGCTATTTGACATCTGTCCTTCTATACACCAGCGAATGTTGGACGATTTCCTCAACGATAAAGAGACTCGAGGTAACAGAGATATGGTTCTACAGAAGGATGCTGAGAATATCATGGACCGAGCGTGTGAGCAACGACGAGGTCATAGAGAGGATGCAAACAAGGGGGAAGCTTATACTTAACATCAGGAAGAGGTAGATAAAATTTCTGGGACCTGTAATGAGAAAAGAGGGCCTAGAGAATCTGATACTCACAGGTCGAATAGAGTGAAAAGGCGATAAGGGAAGCAACGCATGACATACCTGGCGGGTTTAAGCAAGTGGATGACAGAACTTGGTCTGAGGGAGTTGGCAGAGGCATGAAACCTATTGAGAACTACAAGGGACAGGGAGAAGTGGAGAGCCATGATCGCCTGCGCCCTGAAAGGGCACGCCACATAATAAGAAAGAAAGAAATTGTTTGAATCAAAATTAATCGAAATTATAATTATATTAAATAATAATTATTCGAAATGCAAAATTCTTTATTGTAATAAAAATGTAAAAATTAAAAGAGGAAATATACAAATGATAATTTTTCATAATACAAATATATTTGATAAAAATTTAGTAACAAAAAATCCTAATAACCTTAAGTTATATAATACTGCATGCAAATAATCAACTATTGTAGAGTACTCATTAAAAGATAATAGTAATGTTTAAGTTTTCCATTTACATCGCTTTATTTCTTAGCGTTCTTGATATTTTGACAACCTGCTCTTACTTTTGCAATATGATTTTCTTGTAAGTCCGGTTCACTTGTCTAAGATTTTCACATTGTGGGATGATACTTGCTGCTAAAAAGCCCTATGCCATCCTATCAAAGTAAGGCCATATAGGTATAATTATTTTTTAGTATAATCTATCTCAGTCTGGTCATATCTATCTATTCTAGTCAATTCATATCTATCTATCTATCTATCTATCTATCTATCTATCTATCTATCTATCTATCTATCTATCTGGTCATATCTATCTATCTATCTATCTATCTATCTATCTATCTATCTATCTATCTATCTATCTATCTCCGTCCGTCTGGTCATACATCCATTCATCCATCCATCTATCTATCTATCTATCTATCCATCTATCTCAGTCTGGTCGTATCTATCCATCCTAGTCAATTCATATCTATCTATCTATCTATCATCTATCTATCTATCTATCTATTCATCCATCTATCTATCCAGTCTGGTCATATCTATCCATCCTAGTCAATTCAGATCTATCTATCTATCTATCTATCTATCTATCTATCTATCTATCTATCTATCTCAGTCTGGTCATATCTATCTATCCTAGTCAATTCAGATCTATCTATCTATCTATCTATCTATCTATCTATCTATCTCAGTCTATATATATCATCCTAGTCAATTGGATCTATCATATCTATCTATCTATCTATCTCATATCTATCTATCTATCTATCTGGTCTATCTATCTATCCTAGTCAATTCAGATCTATCTATCTATCTATCTATCTATCTATCTATCTATCTATCTATCTATCTGACTCTCTCATTAATTCTGTTACCCTGGTCGCTCACCCTTTCACAATAACCTGTATTTATAGTCAGCATTTATATTAGGAAATGAGGCAATAATAGCAAAGTCGACTGCCGCCATCTTTCTGGATATTTCAATTGTCCTCTGTAGACGGTTAATTGGGACCTGAAGAAATATTCCGAGGAGAGCGGGTAAAAGGTTAGAGTTTATTAATGGCATTCGCAAAAGACCTCTTCAACGATTGTCAGTGAGCGTCTGTGTGGTGTGTGTATAAATATATAGAGGAAGAGTTTATTAGAGAGAAAAACGTGGTAATATTATTATATATGCGTGCGTGTGCGTGCGCGCGCGCGTGTGTGTGTGTTAACGGGCGCGCAATTTAAATTGTACAGAACGGCTTGTAAGATGACATGCTTTGGAGATTGCCGATATAAATTAGTTTGTGCGTCTAGAATGTGTTTAAGTGCATGAATGGTGAAGACAGCAAAACAGAGAGAGAGAGAGAGAGAGAGAGAGAGAGAGGCGAGGAAATATATAGAATATGCTTTTCTGGATAAAATCGATACACGCAAAATTATTGGTCGCAGGTTATTTTTTTAAAAAGAAACCATAGATTCTGTTATCGTTGATAACGTTAATGTTTGAGGTGAATATATCAGATACAAAGGGTATACCTTGTCTAAATAGAAATAAAGAAATGGTTGTCCATGTATGTTGTGGATTCCGAGATGAAATTCGGTCTCCAATGAATGACAAATGCAAGAAATAAAGATAAGAAATTAAATGTATTTACACAATGATACAATTGGTAATACGGTTAGTAGATCCAGAAACGTGGTTAGTAGCAATAATAAAATATATATATAGTCTGGTAAATTCAGTCTCGAAGTAGGACTTCCTTAGAGTCTACGTGCTTGTAACTGTGACTTCTACAAGCGGTTACCTCACACTATTACTTTACCTCCAACTTAATCACAATCTCAATCACTCTACTCTGACTGACGATATTCAGTCACCCCCTCCCACACCCACTTGGGCGTCATGTGGCACAAGGCCGTTTTTAACGTGGGATCTCCGAGCCCGTGTGCTCGGCCCAAAAATATGTCCATTAAACCCGTATAAACGGGTTCAGGGCCGGTTTAGCTCCCCGAAAGAGACTCCGCCGCTCGGCGTAGTCTCGTTCGGGTTCCTCCCCGCCCGAAGGCAGAGAGTTCAACCGAAACAGCCGGTCGAGACGCGAACGACTGACTGACGATATTCAATCACCCCCCCCCACGAGGGCGTCATGTGGCACAAGGCCTTTTTAACGTGGGATATCCGAGCCCGTGGGCTCGGCCCAAAAAGATACCCATTGAATCCGTATAAACGGGTTCAGGGGCGGTGTACCTCCCAGAAAGAGAATCCGCCCTTCGGCGTAGCCTCGTTCGGGTTCCTCCCTGTCCGAAGGCAGAGAGTTCAACCGCTCAGCCGGCCGAGACGCGAACGACTGACTGACTCTGGGTATCTAGCGACAGCAGTCCAAGTACACACTGGTCGAGTCCACTTGTATGAAAAAGGGGTGGATCCCATATCAGTGTATAAATTTCTAGAGAAATAAAAGCGTTCGTAAGTAATACGCAAAAGTTTCGGCCACATTTTTAAAATATAGAAGAAACAAGACAAAAATATCAGTTTAGGTTTAAAAGGTCTTCAAATGATATATTAGCAAACTACGCCAACCGATCATAGCACGCCACGTAATTTAACGACATCTTTCAACATCTATGTGCATTTTGAACGGTCACTTGTCGAAATTAAAAGCTTCATTTGAATGTATTGGTGTGGGATAAAGGAAAAGAAAAACTGCCCTTTTTTGGACCATATGATGAGATGAGCTAATCGTTTTGAATATCTTGATAATGAAGTTAATTTTGAAAATCTCTTTTTGTCAGGTGTTCTTAGTTTCGGGGAGTAGCGGCCAAGTACAGGAGTTCCTAGTTGCAGAATATTGTCGTCAGGTTGGAGGGTTCAAAGCCTGCTTCGAAAAAAAAACGACCAGAAGTTGGTAAAAAAATAATAAACACTTCAGATACATTAGCGTATGAATTAACTTTAACAAATTAAGTACAGGTGAAAAAGAAATTGACTATAGAATAGACAGTGACAGAGGTAGCTCCGCCCATCACCGCAAATTGCTACGAAATCAAAGCTGAAGTCATGTTTTTTTTTTTTAAATAGCCTCGTCGTATCAAAACTTTCATATGAATGTCATGCATGGCGCCAATCTCATTCAGAAATATCTAAACTGTCATCTGTGCATAACCGTTTCCTAGGATCAATGGTGAAAAATAGTTTGAGAGAATAAAGCCTGGGGCTCTTGACAAGGATCATATTTCTTTGATTATTTTGGACTGGCCTGCATAATCCCCGCTCTCAAAACTGTAGCATAAAAAAAACATAACTTGAGGACTATCAACAGCAGCAACAACTAAAATAGATAGCACATGTAACTTGAAGAGAAAATAATGACATAATCAAGACGCTGACGTTCCACACTAATTTAAATAATAGGTTAGAAAGGAAACTATCATAATATAGTAGAAAGAGCGATAACAGCTACTGGACTTGGGATCCCCTTTTTCTAAAAAATGTTTTAAGAGAAAGATTTTATAAAAGTCTATTGAAAACATCATTGCTCGGTCAATGAATGTGTTATGGTCCGGTTCCTTGTACCACTGTGATAGTCCAAGGTAGAACCAATAAAGAAGAACTCGAATACGAATATGGAATAACACAGATATATTACAAACAGGAATATATACAGAGAAGTAGAAAGTGTTAGTACGAACAATCGGGTTTAGTAGGAATTGTCTGAACGCGACTCTGTTTCGGACTGCCTCTGACTCGACTGACTCGCTCGCTCGCTCTGACTGACTGACAGACTTCTGATGGACCCCACTCCAGACTGAACGGTATTTAGTCACCCCCCCCCCACAAGGGCATCATGTGGCACAAGGCCGGTTTAACGTGGGATCTCCGAGCCCGTGGGCTCGGCCAAAAATATGCCCATTGAATCCGTATAAACGGGTTCAGGGTCAGTTTACCTCTCCGAAAGAGACTCCGCCCTTCGGCGTAGCCTCCTTCGGGTTCCTCCCCGCCCGAAGGCAGAGAGTTCAACCTATCAGCCGGTCAGCCGGTCGTCCGACTTCGGACTGAACTCCCTGCTTCCTCTTGAGGCGCAGTATTTATTACGTATGGAATAGTCCATTATGTTATTATGGGTAAGGTCCCATAACAGAATGAAAAATGATTTCTTATAGGGCAAAGAGTTCAGTTAGGAATTCCAATCACCTGAAGAAGGCCGGAGTCTACAACGGCCGAAACGTCGTGAATATGGCAATGAAGATGAGGATAACAGTTCAAATAATGCAAATAATGCAAGTAATCATAATATCTCATCTCGGACATATAAACCGATATTTAAGATTGACAGACCCAACAAACTTGCGTTTTTTTTCCTGACAAAATTAAAATTCCGTTAATTAATGACAAAATGAGACGATTCGGTCAATTTGTGGAAGATATAACCGGATGATACCAAACCAACCTTTCATCAAGTGATTCTGGGATCTTACAGTTTCTGTGGGAACGGATTTGATTACAGATGTTTTGACTGGAACAATGATGTGCCTCTTCACACTTAAATAATTGAATTGGCTGCTTCGATTAGGCCGAAACTGAATAAGTAGAAAGAAAAACCAGATGATGAATTTAGTGTGGCTGTGACCAAGGCCTGAGGCAGAGGGGTCATAACACACTGAGGAATTTCTTAAAAAATCAAAGGGGTGGATTATTCAGCAAGGTAACGATTCTGAGCATATTGCAGTGAGAGCGAAAAAATGGTAGAAGATGAAAAAAAAAAAAGAAGGAATTTTAAGAGTTGCATCACATATATCCCAAAGTAAAGTTTTGGAAGGAATTTAAACAGTTTCCCAGAGAATTCATCAATACTGCCAATAAATTTATATGGACGCAAAGATCTGTTTATTTCTTCTTGAATTTAGTATAAACTAAATATTTACTTCTTCCTTAGTAGAGCGAGTAGTAAATTATTTTTAAATACTTTGCATTCAACACTGCGACAAACAGATACACAGAATTATATAATAGACAGCTCGATATATAGATGTTTAGACAGGTAGATATGTAGACATATACAGTGTAACCCGGATATAAGAGAATTGTCGGGAGCGGAGAAGAAGTCTCTTATATCCGGGTTTGGTCTTTTTTATATATATTAACACAGGCTCTAATTTGGGACCAGAGAAAATCTCTCTTATATCCGGGTTTCTCTTATATTCGGGTTACACTGTACACAGATAAAGGGAGAGAGATACAAAAAAATGTACAGATAGATGTTTAGACAGACATACATATTCAGACAAACAGACAAAATCGCACACACACACACACACATACATATATATATATAAACAAACAGTCTGTCTGTGGATGACTGTATATATATATAACAGTCTGTCTGTGGATGACTGTGTGTGTGTGTATATATATAAATATATATACAGTCATCCACAGACAGACTGTTTTACAGAACTCGATTTGTCTTAACGAAGTGTCTTGCATCAACAGCAGTAATAGTCACTGTTTACAAATTCACTTTTTTCCCCGAAGAGCTTTTTCAGGAGTATGTACTTGCGTACTGGCGACTTTTGATGGCCTAATTTTGAAGCTAATTTTAAGGAGGTCGCATCATAAACGAGATATAAAATTATTGTATGTACTGCTAGTCCTGAGTACGCCGTTGACCAAATTATATATCCATTTACTGTAGCCAAATTAGCTTAAAAAATTAGGTCTTCAAAGGTCGCATGATACGCAAATATATATATATATATATATATATATATATATATATATATATATATATATACACAGAGGGCGATATATATATATATAAATATATATATATATATATATATATATATAAAAAAAAAGACAGATAGGGGTCACTTCTCGGACCAAACCTCTTTCTGATTTACATAAAGGATTTACGT